GGACAAAATGCGGGTTCCGGCATGCTTTTCCTCTGTCATTAAGGAGGTCTGATATGGGCCAGGGATTACAATCTCTTAAGTCTCAGCTCTGGGTATGCAGGCAGAACGCACGCCAAGCACACAAGCACAGCCGTCAGTATTTCTGCAGAGAACTCTAGTGTGGAGGGAGCATGTTCAAGCTCAGATTAATGGCTCTAAGTCTTTCTGGGCGCACTTCAGAGGCATATGCATGAGCAAGCTCCATCCCATCATATCACCATCTCAAAGGAGTCTGGCTTGCTTTTAAATGCTAGTGAACACAGAGGATCCCAAGATACAATATCCCAAGTTTCAACAAAAGCTCAGTATGGTGTGAACGCTTATGTGATGAAAACTGAAACGACCACTATTTGGAGTCAAATACTCTGCATTACCGCCTGTGGATGCCAAATGTTTAATGCAGACTGAAATCAAATCCCTCTCTCAAATAAAGGAACAGATAACATGAAATATTCAGAAAGGAAAAAGCAAACAAACAAACAAGTTCTCTTCTGGAATTAGAAGATGTCATCTTTTACAGTTAAGTTTATTTCTAAAAAGAGAAACATTTTGAAGCTTAACCATTTCACTCAACTTTTTGATCATTTACAAATCCCCAAAATGTCACCGAAGAAATGGCAATTATTTGCCCAGTACTAAATGGAAAAGAACAAAGCTAACAATAAGAAAGCCCTGTATTCAGATCACACCCCTGTCATATGCCTTTTCTCCTCCAAGATACTGAACACATTGCTGGCCTAGAGATGGATATCAGTTAAAATGTCATATTAATCAGGGTTTCACAAATCACCCAAATCCCATGGCAACATTCAGATGTCTTCTAGTGAATGTCCCTGAAAGAGGGAAATGGTTTCAGGGTCATTCCAAGCACCTAACCAAAGAAAGAGCTGGGGTCTGACAGAAACAAAAGAAAATAAAGAGACAAAGAAACAAACAAAAGAAAATAAGGAAAGTTAGTTATTTATTTTTAAAAGATTTAAGATGAACAGTTTTAACTACCAGAATTAGCATGCAAATGATCAAACTTGCAACAAATAGACACATTGCCCCTGAAACCACATCCTGAATAATAAGCAGCTGTGTTTATTGGTGCAAACTCGACATCATGGCATAGCAATGGCTTCAACACACCTGAAATACTTCTACATAGCCCAAAACAAATCAATCAGTCACAGGCTTGCATAAGTGAAAGATGCTTGAACAGGTTTTCAAGCCAAATCCACTCTTAGAACAGGTCCAACTCCTCTTCAGCCATTCCTGATGGATATTTGCATAACCTGGTTTGTGCGGGGTCGAGGAACGGAGACTTCACAGCTCACCAGACAACCTACTCCAATGTTTCTCTGCCCTGGGCACTAGAAATTTTTTTCCTTAGTATCTAATTGGAATCTCTCTGTGTTGCAATTTACCCACATTCTTGTTCCATTCACTGATGACATGGGGAAAAAAACAAAACCAAAAATCTTTCCTCCACAGAAAACTTCATGTTCAAAGAATCATATACCTCACATTAGTCTTTCAATTTTTAACATGAAGATCTTCAAAGACCTTACATTCCAGACTTACGATGATTTTAATTTTTCTCTTCTGGACTCTCCCCAATTTCTCTCCTGTATTGCGATGCTTAAAACAGGATGTAACGAAAGAGCAACTGTACCTTGTTATATCAAAGCTACGTCTAACCCAGCACCACCTCCAAATCTTCAATAGCAAATATTTAGGAAATAAGTTTAGGACTAGACAAATAAGTAACAATACCTCACTAGAAGACACAACTTCCTAAACTCTGGTAGTCTGCAGTTGAAGGACTTTCCTGACCAGAGAATACTTTCCATGTTTCTTGCTTAACAATTATTTTTTTCTTCACCAACTTGTCCAGTAATTCCCCCTAGGTTCACTCATCACAAAAACCAAAGAATATCAGAAGAACAGTAAAAAAAAAAAAATCATCGCATCCCTTCCCTGTGCCTTTTCAGCTCAACCACTTATGGTTTTTTTGAGTTATGACTGGGACCAGAACTGCACATGGCATTCCAGAAAGAGATTCATGTGCTGTGACAGTCAGGTCAGAAAAACACACATGTAAAATTATGATTCTGCCTTCAGATACATTTTGTTAGATCTCTCTCCACCCAATTTTATCAGACAATTCACCACCTCCCTACTCAGTACAAGGACCCTCAACAATCCTTTGCTGTTGCCTCCCATGTGCTCTCAGGGATTTAGTCTCATCTCAACTTGGGCACCTCACAACACACCGCCTTTCTCCAAGCAGCCATACACACGCTGAGCGGCACGGGCCCGTGCAACTCCACCAGTGACCACCTCCACAAACCCATCATAGCTGCCTCCTGTCCACTTCCTGCTCTGCTGTTTGCTCAAGGGTAAGAGGAGAGACAGCCACATGGCAGTTTATTTTTGTTGAGAATCTTTTCAGGGACTTATCAAATGGCATTTGTAAAAGCAATTGAACAATGTCAACCCAACCTCCCTTGGTCAAGGTCTTTCCAAAGAGCTCCAACAGATTTTAGATTCATGACTCCTCTCTGCAAAAACTGTGCTGTCTCTTCCTCAGTATATCATGTTTAATCATGTGCCCTCAATTCTGTTCAGAACAGTTTCTACTCAGTTGCCTGGCACAGATATCAGGCCTACTGGTAACAAGAGACATAATTACTCTGTGGATTATCACATTTTTTGTGAAGTACAAGGCAGTGGGCACAAGAGCCATAATAAACTGAACTGTCCCTCAGCCAGGCATGCTTGTGAGAGCCAAGAAAATTTCCAGATGTCTCAACACTGCAAGATACAAAGTTAGAGATAATGACTACTTTAGCTAAGTCTGTATCTTCTCTTTTTTGATTAAAAAATAATATAGAAGGAAAGATTTGATAAGCTTATTTCTCCAGGGAAAAGACTGAAGGGGGCAGAAACATACAATTGATAGAGAAGCCTGCATTCAGCAATCATCCTGACTGTGGGGAAAAACAAGACAGACTACAGGCAGAAAGCATCACACAAGCAACAACGCTATTCAAAGGAAGAGTTGATATAAAAAGGACTGATAGAGAGTCATCTGACCCCCAGCATTCCAAAAAACGTTGTCGTGTGGCATTACAAAACAGTTCTGTTCCAGGGCACGTAGAAGAGGAGGCACTTGTGATAAACCATCCTTTTAACAACACACTTAAGATGCACTCCATTTGTTACCCATAGTCCTAAGCTCCTGTGATATTCACTGAATCTTAGAAACACTGGAACTTGACTGGCTGACCATCATTCAAATCCAATCAGTGCATCTATTTCAAAGTACAATGACGAATTCATCGGTCAATATTTCTGGACTTCATTTTCAAATTTAAGCATAAAAAAGTTTCAGTGTTGTCATTACATAATATTTAACAGCATATGTATTGTTACATATAAGAGGAGTCAGAGCATACCTTGCTTTGGAAATCACGCATTGGAAATTTTATTTTTGGAACTCAGAGCCTGAGTTGTCCTGCAACAGTCATGTCTGGTTTGCCATAAAAGCAACCAAATCTGATGATGCTAGAGACCTGCCTAGTCCAGCACCCCATCACTGTCAGCGATCGACAGCAAGTGCCTAGAGAAGACTGTAAGACAACGGTAAACACATGGAGATAATTCCTCAGGATATTCCCCCAGTATGCAACAAGTCATACTTCCACAACTTCCTAAGTTTGCAATTCGTATCTGTATATTTGATAGTCTTTGATGGATTTCGTCTTCCAAGAATGCATCCAACAGATTTCAAATCCCTGTACACTGCTTATATCCACAGTGCCCTGTAGGAAGAAGCTCCGTACTCTGTGTGAAGCAGTAGCTCCTTGTGCCTGTCCTTACCCAGCTGACTCGAACTGGTTCCTTATCCTTACAGTGAAAGAGAGTGATTAGCTCTGCATACACTTTTTCCATGCCTTTTGAACTCTTGGGCAAATACCTCTCTCTTGATCTGACAACCTGCCACTTTTCATTTTGTCAGCTGATGTATAAACCTGTCAACCAACACTTCAAACTAAAAAAAAAAAAAACAAAACCCCAAACAAAAAAACCCAAAACTAACAAAAATACCAACAAGCAAAAACCCTCTCTCCTGAGTTAACATAGACACAAAACAGTGATACAGCTCTTTTTCTCCATCCACAAGCTTCATAGATTCTCTGGTATTCTTCTTTCTTCTTGACGTATGAAAAGAATTACTAGTTTTTTAGGCCTGCATCTTCATCATATCTTCTCCTTGTGCCAGAACGTTAATATTCAGATTCACCATCTACATAACACCTCCTTTATCTATGCCCCACCACCCCCTCCGGGTACTTCCCGGTGTCTCCCCATCCCTATGTCAGCAAATACCATGTACACTTCCTTCTTATCACCTGCTTTCCTCCGCAGCCAGCCTCCCGCAGCCAGTCTGTTCTTCCATCAAGTCTTGTGCTTAGTCTCTTCTCTCAGTTAACAGGTTTGATTCAAATCCTTCTTTTTCCTTCCCCACCAGACATTTCAGAGACTAACTCAGTGAAAGATTACAAGCTCCACCCTCCCTTCCCTGCGAATATCTATCTATATTTTTCTCACTATAACCATTACAGATGCTTTCTACCTGCTGCCTCTATCTCCTCCGGGGGCTGCCACGATTTCCCCCTCTTCTCTTCTCTCCTCTGAAACCCCTATTCTTTGATAGTTCCCTTCCAAAAGAACATTTATTTTGTTTCAGCATGCTGCCTCTCTGGGACAGAAGCCTACTTTTGTGTTTGAAAGAGCACCTGGCATGCTGTGGGCATAAACAGACAAGTAACTCTGGATCTGACATCAAGATTGCAGCAAGGTTGGCTCAGAGCGGCAACAGGGAGGCTGCCCCAGGATGGGCTGTAGCCAGACAGCTGAAAAACAGGGATCTTAAAAGTGCTAATGATCAAGGACTTCACCCAAAACCTTACCTTCTCACACCATGCAGCCTTTCGGCGAGTTACAAGCTTCTGCAGCTGGTCATGGAGAGTCATTAGATCTCTGGATAATCTGTCAATTTGTCCAGTCAGACTGTCAGCCCAGGGGCAGTACGAGGTCACCTTTGGCAGCCCGCTTTTCTCTACATGAGCATCCTGGGATTCGCACGTATTTCCCTCTTCAGCCATATTATCTAACACAGTTTCCTAAAGGAAAAACAATAAAATTTATTTTTAAAAACGTTTTCCCACACACACATCTTCCTGGTAATTCATAAGTAGGAATTCACTGCTGCTATCTCAGTACACAGTTGCTCCCCAACCTCAGAGTTGTTTTAAGAGATAACCTCCTCAGTTCACTGTAACGTATTTCTAAGTTAACAGAAAACTTACGCTGCTAGCCTAACACACTATAGAAAGCACCGCATACTGTGAGCTACTCTTGACAGCACTAAAGCATAAAGTAACACGGGACAGAGATCATCAGTACTGCGGAAGCTCTAGATATGCCCCTTCCTCTCAAACTCTGAGGCTGGATGCACTTCTGTGGCTTTTTGTAACAAAGTCATGATCAGGATGGAGATACCTGCTTATGCTGTTCAGAAGAGTCTCATCTGCTATGTGACACAGTAATTTGTAACACCCATGGGACCACTTGTGCCCCTGTAAAACTCTACAAGTTGAGGAACCCCAAGAGATCCCTGCTCCAGGCTGGTCAGGAGCTCTGCCAGCTCTGCTTGACCATGACCACCTAGCTGGTTCTGTTAACTAATTCTGCAACTGCCTTCTGAGGTAGCAACAGTTACTTGAAATAAAAAAGTACCAAATAACTTCAGAGTCCTTGAAATGCCTGTATCTGCACACTGTGGTGTACAGATTTATGTAGAAACACACAGTTTCCAAGCCAGGGTAGGACAGCATAACTAAAGGACTCAAGCCTTCTCAAAGAGTAGTAAACATTTATTTCCATATTGTTATTGAGACAACGTTAAATAGGAGAGATCATAGTCTCTTTTAAGGACACGATTTGCATTCAAAGTTATCTTGAGAAATTGGAGAAGTAATTTGAAAACAGTAAGAGGAAATTCAGCAGTTGAGCACCACGGTCTACACACGGGCAAGGAATAACCAAGTGCATAATTACTGGCTCAGCAGCAACACTGCTGGAAGAGATGTCAGTAAACCAAAAGTCACCGGTGTCATGCTGTTAAAGTCAAGTATCATTTTAGAAAGCATAAACACAAGTCCCTGTGATAGAAGAGCGCTGACCGTAACACTAATACACGGGTGAGGCACCTGAAGTCAAACAGACAAATGAGAAAGAAAGTCCCATAAGAGCAGCAACAACCACCAGAACTTTGAAGAAATGGCCTATAAGGAGACACTAAGAGAACCAATTTTGATTAGCCAAGAAACAGGGACTGAGAAGACAGTGACATGCTAACAGCCTTCACATATAAAAGATTGCTATAAAGAGGATGGGGATTTTTTTATTCCCTCCCCCCCCCCGCTTCTCCCCCCCCCGCTTCTCTGCAGGTAGGTTAAAAACTCTGGCTTAATTCACAGCAAGAAATTTTTAGGCTCATACAAGAGAAAACATTGTAAGATAGCTAAGAATGGCAAAAGACACTCTACAAAACCTCGTTTCTCGGCGAGCACCAGCATTGCAAACTGGCACAAAGCAGCACTGCGGCCAGCAGCTCATGCTGACCAAAGGCCCAGCTCATGTTCTGGGCACTGACAGGCTAACAAACTGCATGGAAATAAAGCAAAGCTTTTCTGGCACTGTTTTGGGTTTTTAATTTGAAATTCACTATATTACAGAATTTTAAAGTAAGATTACTGCAGTCACTCAGTTGCTATAGTTATGTCATGCTGTGTCATGCTCCTGCCCACAACCATCAGGAAGACCTGGCAGTAGCTGTGCAAGAACCATCCCATCCATCAGATCGGCAATGCACAACATGGGTTACGTGGAAGGAGAAACTACTGCATCCTCAAAGCACATCTCATTCCCATACATCCTACAGCATCTGGGAACAACCACCATCATCAGCAAAACAAAAGAAAAAGGCAAATTGGCCATCCATCCTGTTGAACAATTTAAAAAGATGTCCTGGTCAGGTTTTTTGCAATTATTTATTTAGGACTTAACTCCAGGAAGAAGACTAACACGCAATACTCCCCACACTGTTCAACATCAGAGGCAAAGGTTTCGGTGGATACACGGAAATGCCGTTAACACTTGCAGTTATATTTTGCCTCTTTGGAGCCAGGCTTCTGCTAGTATTCCTGCTTTCTAAACAACTATGAGACGGTAGACATGTAAAGCAAAACCCATTATATTACTAATGGCAATCTGAATGGCTCTGCATTGGAAGTACTCTTCAAGACAGGTGAGGTAATTTTACACTCCTCTGCGCTTTGCTTTTAGGGTAGAACAGGACATATGGGCAATTAACAGTCAGCTCACTGATTCTCAAAATTTTGTAAACTCAAACAGCTAATGTGGTGCTCTAAAGAATTATTTTCAGCAACTGTGAATGGGCAAAAGTTGTAGAGAGAAGTGAGATGGATGGTACCGTTTACACTCACTTGAGAAATCGTAAGATGCGCAGAGAAAGGCTTATTGATTTTCTTATGATCATTCACCACAGTTCAAGGGGAAATCGGCAATTTCAACACATTATTTGGCTGGGAAAAATGAAGTTGTTTTCAATATCAGCTGCTTGCAAATTTAGTTGTTCTCAAGTCTGCAATAAAGCTTAGAGGCCTTCTTCTGAAAAACCATTTAATTTTAACAAAATGTACGATTGCTACATTTAAAAAACATTAAAGAGATGAAGATCAGACATTTTCGTTTGTGTTAACTGTACGAAATTCTGCCACTCTGCCCAGCAATTCCTCAGCTCAGCTGGGTGAGTCTTACTCAAAAACAGAGGGATGAAGGAGAACTAAGAAAACTCTTTACCAAAGGCTTTTGTCCCTTCTTTTCAAGTGCTGTTGAACAGTTGGTTCGCAGCATTTATTTTTGTGGGAAGGGGCCTTTGGAAGCAGTCAGCTATTTGTTGGAGTTTTGTTGTTCAAAATTAGTTTGATTCATTACCATCCACTGCCAATAAACTGGTTCCAGTTGCTTCCACTCCAGAAAGGCTTCTAGTTGCATGGTTTCAGACTCCAGAAGCTGCAACAGCTAGAGCAAAGGAGACAAAGGAAAGAAAAATCAGGTAACATTGGCCACTTGGGAACTAAACGAAACATGTTTGGTCTAAATTACAAAACGAGTGTGAATGGTAGACAGGACAACACTTTACAAGAACATCAGCTGCGGAAACATGACGTGAGACTTTCCCCAGCATCATTGATTTACTCCTCACCCCAAACGTACAAAGACCATCAGCTTTTACATACATAAATGTGAGTTTCTATACTGTTTTGAGGGATTGAAGAGCTATAATTCTGATATATTAAGGTTTAGATGCGTGACCATCTTCAAATTTACGCTTCTTAACTACCAAAATAAGCCATGTTTCTCCAAGAGTATTTTTTTTCATCTATCCATTCACTCACATTTAGCATGGCTGTAAGCTTAAAAGCAACTTCTTCTCTTCCAGGACATATACAGCCTTCTCTTAGCCAAAACTTACATAGTTGGTCTTTAACTGGGTCTCCTCATATTCAGTAGTAATGACCTCAACTGTGACATACAGGTAACTCCACTACTCCAAAGTATCTCCTTCCCATGCTGCTCCCACACCTGGAGAAAACTCCAAACTCCGGTATCTCCAGTCCTCTCTGTCTCCTCCCTCAAAACCTTTCATCCCTTATTGAGCATCCCTCTGATGCTCCAAATTTGAAAACTCCCTATAAAAGTGTTATGTATTTTATAAATTGTCTGATCTTCTGCATGAGGAATCCCTCCCTTTACCTGAGCATACTCGAAGGAGAGAGGTTATGTTCTAACTATACAAGTTACGAATTTTTCATAAATATATACACAACATGCATGTATGCACACACATATATGAAGAAAGAGACATTCCAAGAATAAATATTTATAGATTAGAAAAACATAACTTCTTAGAAAGAATGCTAGATGAACAAATTATGTATAAGTCAGAGCTTACCAGCTTTAACAATTTCAGTACTGGGCTTATATTTGAAATGAACAATTTTAACACCAATCTGACAACAAAAGCAACTTTTTAAGATGACACTAACAGTATATGGTCTCAAAGAGAATGACAGGGACCAGATCAGCACCAGTTAAGCCTACCTGACATAGACAACTATTTCTGCTAGCTTTATTGGGTTTAGTTACTTACTACATAACATATAATTTGAGTAACTGCAAAGCATGAGTTCGCTTTGCCATTTTATTCTGCAATTAAAACTTGAAGATAAAGAAATCAAAGAAAGGAACACACTTTGCAAGAGTAACTGCTGGAAATTATGAGCAGTTTGCTCTAAAACACTACTGGATCCAAAATACAATTATTACATATTTGTTCACACAACTGACACTTGGCATTACGCTTAATGACTTTGCTAGTTTGAAGCTCAGCTGGTATGTGAAAAGTGAAAGAATGTGCTTCTGTCTCCTTTTTTCTTTTCTCTTTTTTTTCATAGGTATATCTGCAGCACAAACAGCTTACCTTACGGCATCTGATGCTGGCAATAAAACCCAGCCAAAAAGTTTATTAAATATTCAGGCAATAGCTAAATTACTTGATTTTAAAGTAGCTTTGTAACGTGGTTATGAGCTGCTTGTGATTGCAGTATGAATATGTCTTGTGACAGCTAAAGACAACTGAAGGTTGGAACGGGGAGCTTTTCATTTTAAGCCTTCAAAAAAAAAAATCTTTGTAAAAACATAGTCATCATCTTTACTTTTAGTCTCACTAGGGGAGCTCCTGAATGTTAAAAAAGCCATATGCCACTTGCTTTCACACCACAACTGAAAGGATGTGGTTCTTAAACTTCACCAACAGATCATTTGCAGGTTTGGAGTTAACTGACCTTAACAACAGCCAAAGCTTCCTGAGCTGTCTCCAAATCTCAAGCCTTTCAGGATCTTTTGCATTTTGGCTTTTTTTCTTGCCCTTTTTTTTTTTTTTTAAATTGCTCCACTAGTCATGCAAAAATTGAACAGCTCATTCGAAAGCACTCATCTGACTCACCTACTTATGGCATCCTCACCTTTCACTAAGGTATTACCGCCCTCAGAAACACCAAGACAGCAAGTGTGTGCTAGATTGTTTCAGCCATCAATCAGTAATGGGATGACTACACCGCTCATCCTGGGAGGACAGTTTTCCACCAAGCTGGAACACACCGTAGCAGCATCAGCCTGCAATAGCCAACATTTGAGTTTCTGCCCTGAGGGACTGAAGGGTCTGTTCCTGGATGCCAACATGCTCTGCCATCCTTTATATGGGCCTTGCAAGACTCTGATGTTATTGCAGCACAAAGAATACAGCAGAACACAATAAAACCTAACGTACTACAAATATCCTTGAGATACCTTAGCAAAAAAACATAAAACCAAATAAATGTTCAAGGTGGGGATGGGACAACGGAATGTATGCCTGCATGCCATGAATTTCGTCGCAAGGACAGCCTCCACAGGAACCAGGGGTGACAGGCTTTCACTCAGACATACCTGCATTTAGCAAATGAACAGCTAACACAGAATCATGGAATGGTTTGGGCTGGAAGGGACCTTAAAGAACTAGTTCCAACCCCCTTGCCACGGGCAGAGGCACCTTCCCCTATATCAGGTTGCTCAAAGTCTCATCCAGCCTGGCCTTGAACATCTCTAGGAGTGGGGCATCTACAACTTCTCTGGGCAACCTGTTCCAGTGCCTCACCACCCTCAGAGGGAAGAATTTCTTCCTTATATCTAATCTAAATCTCCCCTCTTTCAGTTTAAAGCCATTGCCCCTTGTCTTATCACTACATGCCCTTGTCAGAAGTCCCTCTCCAGCTTTCCTGTAGGCCCCCTATAAATACTGGAACTCTGTTAGCCTCTCTTCATAGCAGAGGTGCTCCAGCATTTGCATCATCTTTGTGGCCCTCCTCTGGACTCACTCCAATAGTCCCATGTCCTTCCTATGTTGGGGACCCCAGACCTGAATGCAGTACTGCAGGTAGGGACTCACCAGAGCAGAATAGAGAGGGAGAATCACCTCCCTCAACCTGCTGGCCACACTTCTTTGGATGCGGCCCAGGACATGGTTGGCTTTCTGGGTTGCATGCGCACATTGCTGGCTCATGTAGAGCTTCTCAACCAACACCCCCAGGTCCTTCTCCTCACGGCTGCTCCCAATCCATTCTCTGCTCAGCCTGTACTTGTACTTGGGATTGCCCCGACACATGCGCAGGACCTTGCACTTGGCCTTGTTGAACTTCATGAGGTTCTCACAGGCCCACCTCTCAAGCCCGTCAAGGTTCCTCTGGATGGCATCCCTTTCCTCCAGCGTGTCAAACACACCACACAGCTTGGTGTCATCAAACTTGGTGAGGGTGCACTCAGTTCCACTGTCCACATCGTTGACAAAGATGTTAAACAGCATGGGACCCAATACTGACCCCTGAAGAACTCCAATCGGACATTGAGCCGTTGACCACAACTCTTTGAGTGGACCATCCAGCCAATTCCTTATCCAACGAGTGGTCCTTCCTTATCCAACGAGTGGTCCATCTGTCAAATCCATGTCTCTCCAATTTAGAGAGCGGCTTAACAACTTCATCTGCCAGTTTCCTCAGGACCCATAGATGCAATCTATATCAGCCAGCTTCCTTCCCTCAACCTTGTCCTTTACTCCAGCTTCTCATGAGCATTTACTGATCTTTAACTAAACTATGCATTTTTTGACTTTGAGGTCAATGGTGTACATTTTCTTAGGTCACTCATTGCAGTCACGCCCGCCACAGCTGGTATTTCAGCAGGTTTTGCAATTGAGGAATCCAAAGTCCAAATTGTACCTCTGCATTTTACCTAAGTACAATCCCTTTTCGTATTCATTTAGTACCAACAACAAAGATGCTTTTACATGCAATCAGCAGTTCCCACTTCTGCTGCTACATAAACCTCTCAAAATGCAAGACAAATTTGCAAGCTGCAACTAAAGCTGCCTGCTCATTTTCATTGACCTAAGGACTCAGATGTTGTCATGCCTCCTAATGAAATTTAAAGACTAACATCTGCAGAAGAGCATTAATTTTGTCCATGAATAAAGTGAAGCAGCAAGTCAAAAATGTGTCCCATGTGGATATCTAAATGATGTTTAAGGATAACGTATGAAAATTGTCTTTTCCTCTACACAAAATTAAGACAACTAAATCCTTTTCTTTCATTCTTCTGGAGGAAGTTATTGCTCTAAAATACTTACACTCAGAAAAAAAGTAATGACAAATTCAAATTACTAATCTCTGTGGAGAAGTAATTCCATAATGAATGCTGAGAGCAAATATTTTGCAGTAACAACATCCCTAAACCATTGTAAAGAAATCATCACTGCTGCAAAAGACTTGCAAGCAACAGCTTTGCTATAGAGACAAAAGTGTGCTTAACTGAGCTGTCTCGGAGCAGGCTGCCAGGAAACCTCAGAGTGATGCAGAAGAATGCAAACTCTGTAAAGAACAAGCCACACTTCCTCTGACATACAGCTGTGATCTCCAAAGCCAAACATCTCGCATCCAATGCAGCTCATGGAACTCGGGAAACTTTGGGAAATTCAGCTGCAGAAGTCCTAGGTGACAACAACATCTAGGTGGTTTTGGATACTCAACGAGATGCCAAAGTTGAGTCCTCTTCGGTATCCACAAATTTAACTCTCACCAAAAGCATTATTTAAACATATTTGTAATTACTTTTCCTGTTGAGATGTTAATCTTTTTCGTATTATTTACTAGCATATTGCTAAATCCATTGATGCCTGCAGAATGTTACAGAAATCAATATTTAATAATTTGCAGTATAATGCATCCTTTTCATAGGCTCAGTTCCAGAGAGCTCCCTGCAACAAGTATTTAATCTCTGATGCCCATAGATCATAATTCAACTACCATGTCACTGGCAAAAGTATTCTTAATAAAAAATTGCTCTGCCTAAACATTCAGAAAGTCATCCTATTGTTAGACAGACAAAAACCAGTCTTTCTGCAATAAATTATGTTTCCTGGCTCAGAG